ACCTAAATTGGATTCAGGGATTATTTATATTGTACATTGTAATGGCTTTTCAACGTGTGCCATATTATGTTGCATGGACTTTGGGTTAGATTTTTTATGAAAATTAACACTTGTTTTCTTGTACAGTTTTATTTCTGCATGAATTTCAAGAGAATCGTTTTCACCTGATTTTTTTTCTGTTTTACTGTAGTTAAGCAACGATTAGCAAATGGTACATGCTTGAATTACGTGCGCACTTCCAGAAAGATAGCAAAGAATAATATGAAATAAAACGCCAAAAGCTCGTTAGTTTGACAAATTTGATGAAGAAGGCATCATCTTTTATAACGTACAAAAAATACGGAAAAATATTGAAGAACGGTTTTTATGTTTTTTTTGCAACATTGCACTGTACCATTAACTTTGTCCTGTTTCATGTGCATAACCCTCTTCTGCTGCAGCCAAATTCTTTATTTGATGAATAATGGAGGGCGAAAAAGGAACATTTGTTAATTATTTCTGTTGATTAAAAGCAACCATTGCAAGTTTTCAGCTGATGCGATATTTAATTTGAGTGGATTTGGATTTAAAGGTTATGATTCAGACGGTAAACCTCAATGGGATCTGGTTTCCAACGTCAAACCTTGGAAAGTTGAGGTGTCGTTTTGATACTTCTTGGCTTTAAGGCAAAGCTTCGGTTATATTTAATTATGTTGTGACCAATTTTTCTGTTAGAAAAACTGAATTGTTAAAAATTTCCAGACAGCACTAAATTTCAAAGAGACGTTAGAAGCATGGAACTGTTGTACAATGTACTGGCTGCGACGTGTTGCATATGATCGCGCTCCAAAAGGGTGTGTTTCTTTGCAACTTTAAATGCTGTTGATGCTCATTTTAATCTATTTCTTCATCGTTTTACAATTTGTTTAAATTTTTGAGGTACCGGACTCTATCCACGTATTTGTTGTCAGCAGTTTGGCATGGCTTCTTTTTGGGTTACTATGTCACTTTCTTGACTGGCGCTCTGTTCACCGTTTCTGCACGAACGGTATTTTTGCATGTGAATTTCATGTAAGATCGCAGCCTGAGTTCATTATTTAATAGATTATAAACACTTTCCCAGGTCAAAACTTGTAAGAATTTGATTGGTACTGTTAGGAAGAAAACAGCGAAAGTTAACCTGAAGTAATCAATGGACTGGAAGAGAAAAATTTATTAAAATTTCATTCATCAAGCTAATAATCATTCATATTTTTTCTTTTTTAAATTCAGATACGTCGTTGCTTACGTTGGCGCTTCCAAAGGAATGAATTTCTGCGACGTTTATATGACTTACTTACATTTGTTGTCACAAAGATCGCTTTATCTTATGCATCATATCCATTTGTGATGTTACACCTCGGACCCGGCCTATACTTTTACAGGTTACTCGGGAATTTGATTTCAAAGTTTTTAGTATCGCTCCATTATTTCCCTTCATTTCACCTACTGTGAGCTTGTTCCTTAACTAACAGTATATG